GATCGATTATATCGGTCCGACAACAGTGGCAGTGTGGAAATGCATTTAATATGGAGTTTAGTTACAGCAAACTACCGTCATCCCGAGTACGTATATCGTTCAATATTGGCACGGAACGAAATCGGATTACCCGGCATTATGACAATTTCCTCGAGAATAGCTTGCTACCGCACCGTGTGTTCCTATTTACCCCGCGGCAAGAATTGAAACTGAAATGTCTGCCTACATATTCCGTCTGACACATCTCGTGGTGATCGCTACGGGTTACATCATTCCAGAGTAGATTTTGATGCAAACCTCGAAATTCAATGGAAAACAGAAGGAAACACAAACCAAGTTTAATTTAATGTTTTAAATAATTTTAATTTTTAACAAAGAATGTCAGTGAATTTCATTATAGCAATTAAAAATTATAATTGGAATTCAAATTCAGATGAATAGTGCAAAATATAAGTCAACATTGATTTTTAATAAAGAGATTTTGATAATGTACACATCAGTCATTTTCATTAAATTAAATAGAAGTTGCAATTGAAATTCAATTAAAAACTGTGAACTATATAAACACATCCTTTGGGGATAAAAATAGATTGTTTTATACAGTAAAACATTGATCTTTTACCTGAAATTAATATATGCTTGCCAGCCCGCGAATTTGCGTACGATAACAGGAAGTTGCGTGCACGTTTGCTACTATATTGTACAATATAAAGAATGAATGTGATACTCTGTCGATAACCGCAGACATTCCTCGCGTTTCAATGAGCGAGCTCTCTCGTGAAATACCACTGTAAGAAGGAAGGGGCGAAGGAAAAAACCTAATAAAACGCATTCTTTGGAAAGTTTATATACCACTCGGTTTGAAAACCCTTGCCTCAAAATCAATATACAGAACTCTTACCCAGTTTCTAGAAATTGTTTTATACGAAGGTATTTATATACTTATCATAAAAAAAAAATGCTATATAAGAGAAAATATAACGTGTAAAATACTATACAATAAGAACAGATTTTATTTTCCTAAAATTCTCTGTGAACCATATCTTTTCATGGAAAGGTAAAAAACTGGGCAAGTTTGAATATTTCATGACAATAATTTTATCCTATAAAATAATAATATCCATTCCTGTAAAAACCAGCTCGGGAAAGTGATGAAATCAATGTAAATCGTCAGGTTTTCTTTTTAATTATATTAGTAAAGATGAATCCAAATAAACCTGAGTTGCCTAGTCCCTATACTCGATAAAATCTAGAAAATCATGAAATCAAAGTAAACTTGTAACACAATAGAGCAACTCACAATAAAATAAATATTAACTATGAGCAACTAACTATAAAATAAATATTATCTAAAATTGTTAGATTGAGAACGGAACGATTCCAGCGTAAGTGTGATGTCACGTATGTACATACATACGATTTAAAATTTTTGATGGATTGATAGAAAAGTAAAAATATTGGCTTATCGTATTGATTTATTGTGTCTCATCGTTTAACAGTAACGCCGCCGTGTTACAATCGCTTGTACACGTATAAAAACATTCTAATACACAGTAACTCTGTGCCGCGAAGCCGCACAGTCGGTTTACAAGCAGAACAGTTTATTGTTGAGCAATCGGTTATTGCCGTTAGAACGTGACAGCAGGGGAATAGGATCGATATTTAAAATAGCGTCGATGCGAATAGTCCTTCATTCGAGACTCAGTTTCTCTCTGTACGTTCTTCTTTCGCCTCGCGGGATAAATGATAATTCGATAACACAGTAACATAATAAATGGTGGCAGTATTACTGAGAGAGGGTGAAAGGATTTTTCCTGTTATACGAATGCCAGCCTCGATTTCTCTCGAATTTACATGTATGTATTCTTTTTGATCAAGCATGCACGTTCGACGAAACTCGAAAGGTAGCAGCTACCATTGCATCGTGGCTGCGTTAATTAAAAAATGAGATCGCAAGTCCGCAAGTTCCATTAGCCGGCACTCGGGCTATCCAAGCAATTTCATTTTTAATCGTCTACGCAAGACGCAGAGAGCGAAGAATAGTAATTAAATCAAACTGGAATAATTCACCGCAGAATCATGTATCCACATACACATATGTATAAACTCATTTTGAGTGAAAATTAATTAGTCTGAAATGTGGAGCAATGAAAACGCTTTTCAATATTTACAATTATTTCAATTCATGCCGAGAGTCTCTCACAGTGATATACAAAAATAAATGCAAATAAACGGCGCTCAGGAATGCACTTGTCCATTTCATTGATCACAGTCTACAGTTGCGTCTACACTATATACAAATACATAACTTTGCTACATTACATGTTTTGTTACATAGTATAGACGCAGCTTAAAATGAAACATCGTTCTTAATTAAGCGAGTGTCTATAGACCGAGAATGAAAGTGAAACAAAACACGAACACGATTTCTGTTTCTGCAATTTAATTGGTCACGAATGGGATTAAACGTCGGTCATCTTAAATCGGGGACAACTAACGAGGCACGGAAGCTTCCCGACCTCGTTTCTCTGCGCTCGTACGTGCCGCGAAACTCACCGACGGATATTTATTCCGCGATCCCGCATGACGGCGTGCTCCACTGATGACTTTGGGAATTCGTGAGTAGAACCAGCAAACGGACTTAGTTTCGTTTAGTGGGAATCGATGAACCGGAAGCATCACAGACAAGTATCTACACCACCATCGAACTGATCACGATTACTTGATTGCTCTGCATCTCCTCTTTTCTCCTCTTTTCTCGTTCCTTTCTTACCTGTTTGTTTTTATCGCTTACGTTGTTCGAACAGAGTCGACTTCTGTGTCTACGTTGTTTTCACTTGCTTTTTAGATTATGATTAGACTGCGGATTTCATGCATTTAGAGCAAAATTGTGTTTATTAAAACATTAAAAAATGTAAGAAGAAATGAAATGCATATTGTTGTTTTTAAAGGATGAAAAACACTCCTATCTAAACTGCATTTTTTAAATTGACATTAAAAATGTTTTATTTTGCATACAAATCCACAGTTTAGTTGTGATTAATACACTGGTGTACAAACAATAATTGAAATATAGCACAAATCGGATTGTTTACTTTGTCACAATACATTTAAAAGTTTTCCTATCGGTAAAAGTTACAAAATGTATTTCCTTTACGTGGTTTAGTGATTTTATTCAACGCAGCAATTAAATGTCTCAAGTAACGTAATTAATATTAAGTAATCTTATAACACACACATTTAGCAAAAATTAAAGTTCTGATCTTATTAAAGTCTGCATAAATTAAATTAAAATACTGTTCGCATATATTATTGTACTCAAAATAGGCCTTGAATCGTTACTCATTTTTTTTTAGCATAACAAGAAATCGATCAAAAGAATATAAAAATCGAAAATGCTTTGAATTTTGGTCCGAATAGCTCGTATCTACGACGTGCACTGGGATTAGGAGTTGACAACAAGTAGTCGATTCAATGTTTGATATGTACACCATGACAGCGTTTCACCTCAAGACAGCGTGAGGTCCCGAAATGATCCACCCTCCGCGCTACAGGAAATATTACCAGATTGGTCGGTGGAAAGTATCGAGTGGGAAAACGCGTGAGACCAGGCTATAAACTTCAGTATCGGTTATACTATACAAGACAGATGTTCCAGCTCGATGTAATACGTGAAATACCATACGAACATATCGAAGTCTTCACGGTTAACCATCTTCGGTTCTCCACGAACTTGTAAAACACTGTAGATCAACTCGAATTCACAGTATTTCCATTATTCAAATCATAGATGCATCGTAGATGCTTTAGGTTCAAATTTACTTATTGACGACACATACACATGAGAATAATCCAAACAAATCTTTCCGTGCTTGATAGCCGGCGTGTTATTTAGACATTTATAAATATACGCCCGATTCGCTAATACCAAAAATCTGTAGCGTGTCACACAGACCGGTCTCCGTGCTGCACGTAATAAATTATTTTGTCGATAATGATCATGAGATGTTATACTGAGTTATCGAAGCAACGACGCGCCAACTCGCGAGAGAAATTCCGCGGAGGAAGGAAATAAAGTTGCGTTGAATAACGGCCATTAGTCGGTGAGTTAAGCAAACCCATTATTTTGCGACGATCCTCAAACGGGCGGAACCCTTCATTTTTCAAGTTTCGCGCAAAACTGAGGAGAATCCACCGTATAATGGATGGATCAATTTCTGCTGGCTGGAACAATTATTGCGAGGCACCGGATGATTGAAATCGTTCATCTTCAAGAATTTTTACTTACCAAAATAATCATTCGAGATCCACGGTATCGTGGAGTTAAAAATATGCTAGAAAACAATCCGGTTACGGTGAAAAATAGGTTAATAGATTCTATCAAATTGCAATACATTGAAACTTTAAATTCTGCTTAAAAATGAAACGTGTCACGACCCAGTTAAGACAAGTAGAACAATTGAATTCATAACAAGAATGATACCTGTCAATATCTTTTTACCAAATACACCATCGAGCGTTTTAACATAAATAACTTTCGCTCAATTTTAAATCTTTATCAAAATATTCATCACGTCACATAATTCTTATGAATTATACTACTGAAAGTTGGTAATTAATTAAATTCGCAAGTTGTGACATGCACAATCTCCTGTCTTTTGACAATGATCATTTTTGTTATGAACTGTTCAATTAAATGCGACGGCATTGTCTCGTAGAATAAAAAAGGACGGTGCTTAGGATATCGTGTGTGACCAACGAAATCGTCTCCGGTGAACCTTTCGTCAGTTGGGGTTCTTTATCATCTTCAACGGGTCACGCATGTAACGAGCGAATACTTCCTTCTTGAACGTCTCGAAGTGCTTCCTGTTGGCACTGTTCTGTCGCTCGCGCCATGCTGGCCTGGTTTTCCTCGTCTGCAGACCCCAGTGAACGGTAAACACCGGGGATAGAACTTTGAATTGGTATCCGGCCACATACATCTCGTATACCTGCGCAAGAAATTGAAACCATCTATTTAAATCAAATAATAAGGATTACATTCACTATATTCCCATAAAAAAAATAGTCAAGAATAGGATATTTTTCTGGATTCTAGAATAGCATTAATCCTTAGTATATTTAAACAAATATTTGAAAATAAATGAATCACAAAAAATTAGATGAAATTTTGTTTCTTCAGTTAGAATATGCAAATATCGAAGCATCCTGCTCAAAGCTTGTGAAACTGAAATTTGTTGCACTATACGTTTGGAGATAAAATGACAGCAATATATTCCGCATAAAAATATGTATTGAAACATATTCCATGAGAACGCGTATCAACGTGAGAAAAGAAAACGAAACCTGGCTTACCGGATCGAAACTCCAATTTACGTTTTTCATTTTCTCAATTGCATTATCCAAAGCTTCAACTAATAAATTTCAATGATGACTTATAAATAAAAATATGTACGTCACTATATGTATACAGACATATGTGTACAATACAAATAATGATTTGAAATAATTCATTATTTGACGATTTTATTAAGAGGTATATGGTTGGCTTAAAATTCATTCTGGCATTTCAACAAGTCAGAATTCATTTTATGATATTTGATACAACATAATGTGACTTATTTTTAATGAATGCTCCGAAATGTTTTAGGAATCATAAACGTAGGTGTAGATACATGCAACGTAAATTCTAAGAGTAAACCTTACTAAAAGATCATTGATAACGAAAACAGCTGCATATTCTGTTTCTTCACAAGAATTGCAATTCACACGATAAAACTTGGTAAAATTGGTCTAGCAGCTGTTTAAGTATTGCTTTTCTTCTCTGATAACCAGACTACGAAATTTGTATATTTATCAAAATAACTGAATGTGCAAACTATATGTAGATAGGTTGCATAATCTATAAAAATATACAAAATATCAAAAGTGAATGCATATTGTAATGCTCACATGATAAAAAGAATACCTATCGAAAGTGCATTTCTTCAATTAACTACCATAAATGTTTTATTTTGCATAAAAACCCAGTCTAATGATAACAAGCCGTGACGTAAGTTTCGAGGATTGTGCCAGTAGGTATCAGGCTGCGACTAGTGATATTTCCACAGGAAACACCCTGCTTCCGACACATTGCAACGCAATAGCGGGCATAGCAAAGGCGGAAGAGAACGCCGACTGACAATCTCGTCTTCGCACCGCGACGCGCCGCCGGCTGAGACAGGTCGGACAGATCTAACAGACGGGATCCGGTCTTGTGTTGTTCTCCAATCTAGATGCGTCTTCGCGAATAATCATACGTAACAATAGCAAGTCATACGTGACAGCCGCACGCAAACCCCGGCGGACAGGTTGTGATTACCAAAGCGGAGATTACTACAACTGTAGTTCGTGTTTCGACGTCTCAGTTCGTAATTGCTTCAGTATTATCGTTCCAGAGATATTAATTACAAGCAAGCAGGATGCATCGTCAACAACTTTTAAATCAGTCTATAATTCAAACAATGTTAAATTATTCAGCGGAGTCATGAAATTTAAGAATATCAGAAGTACCTCTTTGTAAACGACATTAGTAAGTGCTTCCTGTAAATGCTAAGATTGTTAAGCTACTTGCTAAACTCACTCTGAAGCAAGTTATATGTATAAAACTGCGAGCGAGATAGAGTATCGAAATTCGTAAAATTACGTTTAACTTCATTTCACCCCCTTGAGGGTGGAATTTCGAGAAATCAAAAAATTTGTATTCTTAATACTTTGTATGAATAACATCAAACGAACAATTTAAATGAGTCGATATTGCACGTTGTGCAAGAGAAATAAAGATATTCGTAAAGAGATATTTTACCCCATTTCCACTCTCAGGGACGGAATTTAAAAATATTTCCTCTTACGTGCACCATTCATATGATAGTTTTCGTTGAGCGTTGATAAGTAAATTAGTCAGAATATTATAATCTTTCTAGACACAGAGATGAATACTTTTATAACAAAATGCTAATCAGTATTACTGTATAAAAATATGTGTATTAGATTACTAGACCTTTATATAATGCTACCAAGCAAGAATTCATAAAATAATTATGGGTTCAACAAAGCGGGGATTGAGAAATTCGTTAGGCTTCAGATGACACGTAGTTAGAATTAATGTAGAGGAACTTAGCATCGGTGGAGAACGGAAACGCGGCAATGAGACCTCCGGCAACATCCAAAGGAGTTGATAGACGATGTGTAATCTTCGGTTCACTGTCTCGAGGACGACCAGTGAATAATTGTACACAGATACGAGAGCGGCAAGGGATGACAGAGTATCACAGTTTCCTGAACGAGTATTGTGTTTAATCATAGTTCAGTTAAGGACAGAAACTCAATCAACGTTTCACCACTTCATTCCTATAAAGTATAAAATGATGGAAAACAGTAAAAAATGTAATGTGTAATATTTGTATTACTCTCAAGAAAAATTGTTAGTTAAATGATACATCTCCAACCTCAAAGTATTATATAATAATTAACAATACAATACTTCGTTTATCATTTTTTAAATGTGCATATTCGTATTAAGAGTTGCTGAGTAATAATACAAATACGTCCCATGTATAAAAAAGTACGATAGGAAGATAATGAAATAAGAGTATCGATTTGACAGGAAGGGATAATGAAAATTGACAAGGACATTAATTAGTGAAACCAGATTAGGCGGAGATGAATAGGAGTGTACCATATGAGAGTTGAAACATTATTTCGGGTAACAATGGTCATGATGAATTACACTCAAACGTCACTCTCGATACGAAGGCACTCGCCTCGTTGATTAGTAAAAGCGAATTGCTTTCGTAATGCATGTTACACAACTATTCGTCTTAATTAGTCAACGGCCGGGAATTAATTCCCTTTACTACAGTTCCCCTTCTCCCGGGGGTCACATTCTTGCGGCCGAGGTATAAAGTATTCGTACGTAGCTCTCGCAGCGCGAAACACCCGCGCGGAACACCGAGGGAGGGAGAGTTTGCACGAGTACACAGATTACATTAAACAACATAACGAGTCAACTCGACGTATCTTCCTAATTACTGGCTCGGACGCTTTGCTTTGGTTGACGAATCCTGTTTGAGCCACCGTCTGAAATTCTGAAATAATCATCCGCGATGTACACAAGACAGAAAACTTTTCGACGATATTCTGTTTTTGATCCTAGACATGACTATTCTCTTCGTGACAAACCTTTCAACATCGATTTGGACATCTTTAATATTTACCAAAAATTAGACTCAATAAGAATTTAAATTAGAGAATAAACCAACCGAACCTGAAATGTATGTGAAACTTTTAATAACCAAAATTCCCAGCAGGACTGTTATTTCTTACTACAAACAGACAAGTATTTCGTTTCCATTCTGCAACGCGGCTAACAAAGCTTTGAATACCCAAAATTGTAGTTACAGTAACCGCTGAAACTCTTCAAAAGCAAACGGAATTATGCGTGGAATTTAACCCTGCCGCGTGAGTTTATATCGAGCCATTATATAAATTTAAATGTACAAAATTTCTGTTATACGCAGATCGTACTTCGTCTAATCGGTGCTCCTTGTTCCTCATTGAACGGGGAACTGGATCCAGCGTGGTTCAACTAACCTTTACCTTCGTGCATCAACCTGGGGTGTATGCACGTAGCATAGTTACAAATGTGTGTGTATTACGAAGGAAGATTATCAAGCGAAACGCCGTCGAATTATTATTTCGGAGGAGAAAGGATGGAATAACGAAAGGAAGGAAATTTCCCTCGTTGTTGCGTCCTTGCTTCCAAGAATTAAGAATTTATTACATGAAACGCGGTGGATGATAAATGGAATTTCGCAGCGAAATTCGACATTTACAAAGTAGAACAAAGGAGTGCCTGTCAAATAGCAAGAATTAAGTAATCATCATAGACTTTAATTAAAGGAATTTCGTACAGTAAATCATGGTATTAGATGAATAGTATAGTAAGCATGCAATAAATCACATTACGTGTATATCATATCTATTTGTATTATTATTGCAGGTTTTAAACATTTATGGGGTAGGGGCTTGAGAGCAATGGTCCAATGTGTAATTGAAAATTCTGCTGTGTAAAATGCTCAGTAAAGTTCATATTCGATTTCTATCAAGTTATGTATACTCAATGAAGTTTACATCATAATTGAACAGTGTGGATATGTATATGTGCGTGCAAACAAACTGACATGTATTTACAGTGTTCTCACTAGCGGTTTGCCAATTACTAACAAGAATTGTAAAGGGAGACGCAGGAATTGTTTCGCACGGCGCTCGGCGCATATACCTTGGGGGAACGTTGTTCGGGTTAATTTCACGGTTCGGCATCGGCGCGGCGGAGGTTACCATCGCCACCGCGGACCATTACGATCATGACACGCCGCGTTACCGCCCGGCGCAGTTTATTCGATCCCTGTGTGTTCCTCGAATTTTGGGTGATTAAATTTAACGAGGGGATAAAGACATTATCCTCATTTAGACGATTACGGATCTGTCGGGTTTACGACGCCGTTTAGATAAAAACTAACGATCTCTGCAAACAGTGAGACACTTCACATCAAAAACAGTAGCAGGATTTCATAAAAAATGATGTTTTAAAAATCTTTCTATATCCAAATAATGTATCTCAGCCTATCATCAGAAATTATGAAAAACCATAGAAATATGATAAACCAATGTTGGTATAACAAAATATGTTCCACAGCAAGGTTATACAATTTAATGAAAGAGTTGTATAATATAAAAAAAAATAACTTGTTGGAAATGTAAGAAGCAGAATGTTACATAGCATAATGTAATATAACATTTTTTTCTGTCATACATACATACGTATAGCAGATTATGTGTTACTGCAACAGATTCACGAAACATTTTGCATCTCATTATTCATGACTAAGATGCCCCGTCGCGGCTTCGCCAGCATTAATTTTACACAACATTTTCTTGCAATATCCACTACGTGACTCTTACAGAGTTTCTCATGCCAAAAACGAATCTCCAAGCAGAAATCTTCTATCACGTACCGTTCCCGAAAAATAGCGGTCTTCGTAAAAATCAACGATTTTGGGGAAAATTAGGTCTTTTCAAATAAAATAAATATATCTTGTGACACTCCGGAATATACGATAAGAAAGCTGCTATCCACGATTTGTTGTAAATATTTGAATCGTTTTCCAGATGATTACTAACATACAAACAAACGCTCTCTCTTTATGTAACATGACATAAACATGTAAAATGACATAAAGCGTTCAGTATGTAATTCTATCTTATTTAATTTTATTATAAACGGAGATAGACCTAAGCGAACATTCTATAGCTACAGTAATCTTCTTGCGAATATCGAGGTGATGGAAGTTTTGACTTTGTACGTATCAAAAGTTCCGATTTACAATAGTTAATAAATAAAATAAGTAGAACAGATACATCATTTCGGGGTGAAATGCTAATAAAAAAGAGACCGGCACTTATTTCTAAGTTCTTAGCAAATGAAAATTCTTAACATCTTCTGTTGTATAAAAACAATTTTGGTATATAACAACGTTTCATTACACAACGTAGATGTTATTTCAGTGGAAAATATATCATAACCTAGTTTCAGGAAAGGATCAACAGACCAATTCGCGCGAAGTAAATCCAGCTGAATAAATTGTCGATGTTAAAAACCTAATCCAAACACAATTCCATTTCGCTGATCCAAATCAAAACTTCTAAGGGACTTCCCTTTTCCAAAATAGCCACCTCGAAATTCTCTGATAAATATACGGCGCAAGGATCACGCATTAGGGCTATACGTGACGACGCATTCGCGGCGTCAGGTAAACAGCGGTCGCATAATTTTTCCGACGCTGCTGCACGCCGTTGAACTGCGAAGTGAAACCACGCCGGAACGAGTCTGATAATTGAGTTTTATGCGATCGCACGTCGGTATAAATCCCAGATGAGTAAGACCGCTACTCCGTTACGTTACGGCGCAACGTGTCTTCACTTATCTTACATTAAACGCCGACATCGTCGAGCCGGAAGGTGTGTCGATGGATAAAACGACTCGGGTCGGCGAAGCTTTTCCATTTTGATGGGTGAGAATCCCAAGCGCGTGATTTTAACACGGAGATTTCTGTAGGTAAACTCTTTTAAAGCGATAGAAATCTACGGGACGATCGCTTAAATGGCTGCTCGTCATGCTAAACCGCGATTGAATGAAGTAATTGGAAGAGGATGTATTGAGAGGACATTATATTATAGGTAAATATAGACAGATGAATGTAAAATCTATATACTGTTGCTAAAAAAAGTTGCAGTATTTAAGTACTAAATTTGATCCTGCAAATGTATATTATAACGTCAGGTACTATTTTGGATGGAACAAAGTAATTGGAACATGATATTGAGAAAATACAATTGGCCGATTATATTAACTCGGGACACGTTGGGATATACATAGACTTGTCAATTTTCTACTTATTCCACAGATAGCAATAATTACATCCGTATTTTTAGTATAACTGACCTCATATACGTGCAATGAAATCTAACCAAAATATACGTTTCCCGTCAAAGTTCTTTACTCCTTTCCGTACAATAAGAATCTGTAATGAAAAAGTATAATTTCAGCTTAAAAAAATTAAGTCGACCTATAAATTTGCTATGAAACGGCTAAAAATAAAAAGCAAGTGGTTTAGTTTTGTTTCCCCCTTGAAAACGTAAAACTTTTGTTCAAATCGTTTTTTTTTACGATGTGTCACTCACGAGATAATTAAACGTCAAGTTTTCATTTGAACAACCTGTATATCCATAGCAACGTGCAAGAAAACAATTCCTCGATCTCTGAAAATATTATCCATCGAAAACAAGAGTCTCCATGAATTTCGTAGCGACTCGTTTCAATATTGACCCTTCGACGTTCATTTCGAAGATTGACTTTCGATCGAGCACGAAATTGATTCGGACGACGTGCAGAGCTGGATCCCGTGAAAGGACGATCGCATGCCGCACGGCACGGCACGGCAGGTGGCTTGAAATCAAAGAACGAAGGAAGATAGGTAGCAGCTCACCTGGCTCGCTCCTGCACTCGTCGATTGAGCGATTACCTCGGCGCGAGCCGTCAATCAGGAAATAGGGCAGGCCCAGGTTGAATGGCGCGATTCATTGAAAACGAACGAAGCACGAAGTTATTTCCATGCCCCGTTTCTCTATCCGGTTCCACTTTTTCCAACCAACCAAATTTTGTCTATAAGATTAACGGTCTCTATTAAAAGTTTACCCTTTCAAACCGGATACCTTTTGTATATTCCTGCAAAGAGTATAGGAAATGTGCTCTATTTGTTTTGAGATACAGTTTTGGAAATGAATGCATTTGCATCATTGTTGTATACATCTATATGTTTAGAAAATTATTCATACTGATAATAAACGTCTCACAAAAAGCAGGAAATTACATTCTCCTTTTAAGATAGTTCGTTTGTATAATGGTCGGAAAAATTTTGCTAACTGAGTAATAAAAAGTCTATTAAGTAAGATGAAATAAAAGAGTATAAATCGTTTATCGATAAGATGGTTAATAAATACGGCATCGAGCAATTTTCGCGTACCTTTCGAACAGTTCGCGACATTTAAGGATATCTTAAATCGGTAAATTTCTCAATGAAATCTGGTGCTTGAGACGTTATTCAAAAAGTATTGAAATTATGAAATACATATATATGTAGAACTAAAGGATGATTTAACAGAACATCGAACTGGACGAACTCATACGTGCAAATGGTTTAGGCCAAGACGATTACGATTGGTTGCGGCGCGATACTTCATGAACATGCATCGGGAACGGACAAATTCGTATTAACTTGATTTTACGGTCTGGCAGGTAACGTGTTCAGAGAACGAGTATATGTATAAAACTCCACTATAGGCTCGAAGCGGATTTACCAAAATAAGTATTGACAGATTTTATCGGTTTTTCGAATCGTGGGAAACTTTCAAAATCATGTTCACAAAGACTTCTCGTTAAAGCTAATGGTAAAAAACAAAGGGAAGTGTAGGAACTATACTCGCCATCAATAAAATAAATTTTCCGTTTTATTTATAATTTGTTAATTCGTAAAAGTTTTTCAAATTTTGTTACAAGAGAAGGATTCAGTGACTGTTGAAATAATATCGCAATCGTACAGTAGTATAGCGTATGAAAAATTTGTCATACAATATGGTTGGACGTACGACACATCTAATTAATATTATTAATTATACCTATTATGTTCATCTACTATCAGATACACAATTTCTTCTTGAGAATGTGATAAAACATTCCGTATTTATTTGTTCTTAACCGTTCAATACAACCTAGTATCAATGCATCATAATTAGCTTTTTAAATGGAAAAACCGAGTCTGGTCGAACATGCTCATAAAAATTGAAGTTTAATAAAAGTCTTTGGTGAATTACCAACGCATTGTTCCGGCTCGTAATTATTGGCGTACCACGCATTTAACAAGAAGCCTATTGTGTTTAATAAAGGTTTCCCATAAACGATTACAATAGTACCCATGCAATATTGCAAGATTAATGCCGTCCGGTGAACAACTAATGTATTGAAACGACTTCGCTGGAAAGCCTATTATGTAACCGAGCCAATCGAAGCCGTTAAAGAGGTAAGAATAATGAAGCCTGCGATTTAAAATGAGTTCGCAGTTTGAAACGACCTCGGCCTGCAATCAATTTCATTGGACCAACCGAATTAGACCTTGTCAATTCGCCTTTATCAGGCCATTGAACGCTAAAGGCTTATGAAAGTCATTTTGAATTTGTCTTGGTGCGCTGGGTCTCGTAGCCGCGGGCAAAACAACGCCATCAACGCGAATGCGATGAAACGAGGTAGGGTGACGCGTGCGATGCGTGCGCGACTCTCGGCGAGGGGAGGGACAAAACGGGGCAAACAGGGGCGGGAGAGCACGAAGGTCGAGAAAAACCGGTTGCTCGACAAAAGAATGGCGCGACAGGATTGTATTGGATCGGGAGGCCGCGACGAGGACGAGGATATGGTGCCTCGAATACAGCGAAATACAAGAGGGTAGGAAAAGCGAAGGATATCCATTCTCATTCCTCCGTGGGGAGTGGATGTTGTGTGAACGAACCGCAGGGAAGACGCGAATACCAATGTACAGGCTACGTACATCTCCACCCAAAAGTTTTCTCTTTTACGTCTAATCACTAAACTAATTTTTATGGAAAATATATATGGTATACAAATTTTCATATCCATCATGTAAGAATTATAATAAATATTCACGTTTCCATATTTTTGTGTAACATATACAGTGTTTATGTTTCTCGTACATTCAGTCGTTTTAATCGAGAATAAAGGAAACTAACGTTTGAAAGAAAACCTAACGTTTAGTTAAAATATCTAATTTATCATAAATATGTTCACATTTTTGTGTACCTAGATGAATTGAAAAGAATAATAAAACTTACACACATGATATGAAAATTACTTGGCAGCTTATTATCACATTCGTGTACCCAAAAGCATCAAAGAAAATGTTACAACAAAATACGTACGTAATACAATGCAATATATCTTATCAAAGAGGAGTACAGGTTAAAACTTTTGAAGAACAGTGTGTTTCCCGATGCGGAAAGGATGTTACGGTCGCAGCCGTACACACCGGCTTACGTTCGCGGCGGTGTTACTACAGCACTACGCGGCCATGTAGATTTACACCCGTTTTATTGCCGTCGCTGCGGCATACTTCGTTTTACGAACACGACGAGGTACGCCGCGCCCGGATTTCGCGCCGCGCGATGGAATTTCGTTATTTCCAGCAACGAGAGCTTCGAACGGCACCGTTCGGAGTGAGCATCACTACCGTCATTCTGGGTGAACGGGTTACGACGCGTTACGCGTGTCTGCACGCATCTCCCTGCTTTTTCACAATTGGCTGGGTTATATTATAGCTGTTGCCGGTGACGAAAATACGCGTGTTAAAACAAGAACTAAGAAATTGTCGAGAATTATTGTACCAATTATTATATGGAATACTAGCATTCCCTGCCGCGGCTTCGCTCGCAATACTTTCGTTTTAGTGAAAAATGATTGAATTCTCTCATTATTAAAATAACTCTGCAAACATTTATAGTTCTTCCCGTAGGTGCTGAGATTATTAAACTGCTTACTGGACTTACCCTGGCTACACAAAACGTTCATGCGCGATAAGAAAAATAATGATGTTGGTAAAAATACATTTCACTCCTACGGTTCACTCGTACATTTCACCCCTTAAGGGTGAAATTTAAAAAAACCAGAAATTTATTTTTTATCATTTATATGAGGAGGTTTTATAAGTAAAAATGAAGTCAATATCTCGTATTGTATAAGAGAAATAAAGATATACATAAATATACATTTTACTCTCTTTCATTATCTTTTAAGAGTCGAAATTAGAGAAATACAGAAATTGCTTTGTACTTTGTAGTGTAGTATATACTATTAAAGAGTGGCTAAAATATATTTTAGTGGGCATAAAGAAATGCAGACTTTTCCGTGCGTCAATAAGTACCACAAGGCTACCACTTTTGAGCAATCATTCCCTCGGTGGTAGGGGTAGTACTTTTATAAAGGAACATTTTGGCGCCACAAACAGTTTGATATCTCATCAGATAGAGTTACGTCATAACAATAAAGAACACATTTCCATCGTCAGAGGTCGAATGTCGAAAAAATCAGGCATTAAGTTTCAATATTCTTGTAAAATGACATCAGAACCAGTTTTAAATTTCATTAGGTTAAAGAGATATTACAAAACAAAGAGAAACACGTTTTATCCCATTTCCACCTTCATGGATAGAATTTTGAAAAATCCTATATTAATGAGCACCTACAATCTACAACATGGTGGGAAACCGCAGTCAAAATTTCCAGTAGACTAGTATGATAGTTTTGGCTGGGCGTTGATGAATGAATCAGTCAGGAAGCTTATATGTGTATACATACTATACTATACATATAGATTGTATCAAATATTGTGTTAAGCACTACAACATTTATTATATGCAATACTGTATATACTATTGTCCTAAAATTTACTACAGTGTATGATGCAAACGAGTTAATTTATGAATGGGACTATACGTAACAAGCAACGAAGATGGAGGACTTACCGTGCAAGATACTACTGTCTGACGTGCGCAGCGTTATACCACTATCAAGTGAGAAACGTACGCTTCCAAACATTTTATTTGAGCTAGGTTGGATTTTTGTACAGCGAACTCGCAGCACGCAACCCGAGTAAATATTCCTACTGGCAACTTTCGCGAAACTGTAGTTCTGATACGATGCAAAAATACCGACGCCACGCGGTGCGTGTAGACAACACAGAGAGAGAGAAAGAGAGAGAAATAAATTCTGCGTTTTTGTAAAAATAAAAATATATCTCGTTTTTACTTCTCGAGTTTCATGAAAGTGAATAAATAACAATAACTTTTCGTTCGCCAATAAAATCATGCACAGTTCAACAATTTTTCTGACGTTGATCATTCTCCAAACATGATTTTGGTATATTTGTGTCTAGTATTTGGTAATAATAAAAATTTATGAATGGATTTTATGCCGAATAAAAATTGCTATGATGTAAATTTAAAAAATAAAACTGGCTAAAATTTTTTCCGATTAATATATGTATCGTACTCTCAATGTTTCCACATTTTTTAGTATTATATTTTCTGCATTTATTTTATGATATAAACATGTCTAAATGCATGAAAACTTTAGTTTACTTACCTGAGTGTTTCTAGTGTATCCGTAGCCCATAAATCTCTCGTCGTGGGGAGGGACGATATCCTTTGCCACGTAAAATGGCTCGTAAAGGAATTCAAAGTTCGTCACGTTGTGACTGACGTATACTTTGCCGCTCCTGACGTTCCCGTAATTTTTGTGGTTTGGGGTTGTGTCCTGCAACCACCTAAACAAAAATAAAAATATTTATACATAAGTATGATTGATAATTGAGATGCAAATCAAATGCATTTACAGGGAGACTAAATATGCAAAAATACAAAGAATTCACAGAATATCGAAAGCATATTGCAATACTTAAATGATAGAAGGAATTACTATATAAAATGTATTTTTTCGAAATATAAAATAAATAACATAAGTATAAATATCCACATTAAAATAGAGAGAAAAATAAAATCTCACCTGGTAAAATTGGTAGCGAACTGATTATGTATGAAGACCTTTTGATGGAAAGGCCTGGCTAATCCCTTCCTAGCAAGTCTGACCAACTCCGTCTTGTTCTGTGGGAACCGGACGCGCGAGTCCAGCTCGTACGTCGGTATCACGTATGCACATTTGTCACAAGTATCCTTTCGAAGAAACTCGTCCAGAGCACCAGTCAGATTAAAACTCGGCACGATATCCACATCAGTAAGAAATACATAATCAGACTGGCAATTCTTCCTAGCCAGATTCCTCATATGATTCTGAGGATAGACGTTGCGTATTCGCCAGTTAGTTTGTTCGCTCGAAATCCCGTTCATCATCATTTCATTCAGCGTTCCTTCCGGTTTGGCACAGTCGACCATGTCAGGTAACTCAAATTCCATTGACTGCTTAGTTGGCTGTCGCAGTTTGGGCACCGCCAAAGAGAACGTAACCCTCTCTCTTATGGGTTCGTAACATCTTCTAAGGTACGTCAGGTACTTCTGAAGAACCTCGAACTCCTCGTCGCCGGCTGCATACAACGCAACGGACATAGGACCCGTCCAATGGTGGGCAGCCTGCACGAGCGAATGCAGCTTTTCTACGGAGCTCTGCGTCGCCAAGCATACCCTGTACGCTTGGGACAGCTCGACGAAACTCAAGCCAACCAACACGTGGTCGAACGTGCGGAACATCCGCCGCGCGTCCCATCGTCCTAGCTTTACGTTCAGCTTCAAAACGTTCGCGTCAGCTGGCAATGTCTGATAATCCTGTGTGACGCAGTCTGGCTGCTGCTGTTGCTCCTGCTCCTGTTCCTTGATCATGCTGCCCAGATTCCATTCGGTTATTGCGTTTGGTTCGAGATCTCTGGACGAATCGTCTGGGATGCAGGTTTCTGATTGGAGCAGTAGAAAAGTTAATAGCATGTTCGAGAGGGCGAGGACTATCACGCTGGTCAGACTGAGGTTCCATGGTCGACATCCAAACTGTAAATCAAATTAATTTTGATAATTTATTAAACCTAATAAAATGATTAATTGAAACAATTGATATAGTATAATATTCTACTATTTCATAATTGTTAAGGTAATACGATAAAGTATTACGGTATTAGAAAACTCCATGCAAGGATATATTTGTAATTTAGTGCCAATGGTGGTTTAATCAAGGAACACTGATATCCATAATCAGTATTGAGAGCGCGAGGACCGCCTGTTTCTCACTCCTGTATGATACCTGAGGATGAACACATGCGTATATGTGTATACATATAGAATAGTCTTACGTAATCAGTTAAATTCGTTAGAATAGAGCAGGGGTGGGGAACGTGCGGTCTCCGTGAGTTTCTTGTGCGGCATCCTCGTACAGTTTCAAATGTTATTTATTCTTTAATGTATTCAATTACTTTCAAGCAAGAAACAAATGCAAATATCCTACTGACTTAAATTTTCCATCAAATTTTAAAATTATTGTCCGTATTATTGTTATGTTAGTTATTTATAACTTAATATTATTATTTTTCTATTGTGTTCCTGTACGAAGTAATAATGTAAAAATTCTTCTAATATTATTTTTATTTAAAGTGTTATTTAAATATGTAGTTGTTTATTAAAATTTAAAGATCTAGATATATGTATACTTAAACAAATGAAAATACCAACAATGAAATGTAGAAATTATAGCGGCCTTCTTTATTACTGCCTAATATACTACATGTAGCCCCTAGTGATAAAAATGTTCCCCCCCTTTGGAATAGAAGAATCCTTTCAGTTCGTTCATTTACTCGACACATTCTATTTTTCTTTAACTATATTATCATTTTTACTTTTTACGAAGATTCCACTCTGCAAACTCCAAATAAACCATAACAATAATTAAGTATAATATTAGTCAATTAGAAAGTATAGGAAGATTTATTACATGTAATCATTTGTAAATTCTTACACCATGCATTTACTTGGAAGATGAGTTATAAAGTAGTAGCAATAAAAAGATGAAGAAAATCATATTCTCTTAATCGTGTTAAAATTATAAATAACTATGAATGTCTAAAAAATATCACCAATTTCTTTAACGCTTTTGCCAGTTTTTGAAAATGCATGGTAGGTTAAACTATTTACTTCTTAATTGGCTTTATGCTGCGCGGTGGTGTATTCATGAAATTTGCACAAAATAATTGCTTAAATTGCTTACTATTTTTCTCCCAGTAGTAAAAGTGGAATCCTTCGGGACAGGATATTTAATGAAGTCCTGTCATGGAGGGAAAAGGGTACTATTTACATAGTAGAACTTCATTAAACCTTCCAAGTCCCTGTGGACTGCGACTGTTCTGTTTTATTGTTTCTGTTCCCTCGAACATAGTCTTACAAAAGTTAGACGTATATCATTCTCTCAGACGAGACACATTTATTTTATAGGAATGTTGAAATATATTTCAATGTTTTTAATTCAGTGATTGATTTAGGGTACACATGTGTTTATTACATCTTTAATTTCTAAATCAATTAAGAATATATGTATATGTACATATAAAGGTATCAAGAAATTATGGAACAGTGAATTGAGAATATAAATACTGTTAAAAATTTCTATCAAGTTAATCATCATTCAAATTATATACAGACTGTAATATTGATCAAGCTTTACATATTGTAACATGCACCATTGATTAATATTTGATGACAGGCATCAACATGATGCATGGGCTTGTACAATAAGCATTCTCGTTTCGCGAGATGTAGATTACGTATTTCTGTCGTGTTCGAGAAAATCGTCTGATAATGAAACGGATATCGACAAGATCAATTCGCCGGGTACATGGGTGTAAACCTACTAGTGGGCAATATTTTAAGGACGTGTTCTATGGTCAAAAATAAGACGAAAATGAAGAGAGAGAGAGAGAGAGAGAATTGCGTTTGGGGCTTCGTTAATTAGTTATTAACATTTAAAAATTCGATGTTTTTGCCCAGAAGAACGCACGGTTCCCGCCATGCAATTGGAATCATCTTAGAGCAGTCGTGAAGGAACCGTCGCGTGTTACATGTCGCGGAATGTCGCGTGAATAGTGTTTATGTGTCTCTATACACTCCTGCGGGAACCGTGCGTTCTTCTGTTATCTTCCGAACAATAACTTCTTAGCCGTTATCCTGTGGCAAGTGCATCGTGTAAAGGATTAAAAAGCTTAAGAATTTATCGGAGTCATTCTGCGCTTAGTGTTTAGTGTGGATTGTGACTGTGTGTTTCGTATCATGTGGACACTACGGACGGGATAATTTCGGTCCATGTATACTATATACAGACTGTAATATTGATCAAGCTTTACATATTGTAACATGCACCATTGATTAATATTTGATGACAGGCATCAACATGATGCATGGGCTTGTACAATAAGCATTCTCGTTTCGCGAGATGTAGATTACGTATTTCTGTCGTGTTCGAGAAAATCGTCTGATAATGAAACGGATATCGACAAGATCAATTCGCCGGGTACATGGGTGTAAACCTACTAGTGGGCAATATTTTAAGGACGTGTTCTATGGTCAAAAATAAGACGAAAATGAAGAGAGAGAGAGAGAGAGAGAATTGCGTTTGGGGCTTCGTTAATTAGTTATTAACATTTAAAAATTCGATGTTTTTGCCCAGAAGAACGCACGGTTCCCGCCATGCAATTGGAATCATCTTAGAGCAGTCGTGAAGGAACCGTCGCGTGTTACATGTCGCGGAATGTCGCGTGAATAGTGTTTATGTGTCTCTATACACTCCTGCGGGAACCGTGCGTTCTTCTGTTATCTTCCGAACAATAACTTCTTAGCCGTTATCCTGTGGCAAGTGCATCGTGTAAAGGATTAAAAAGCTTAAGAATTTATCGGAGTCATTCTGCGCTTAGTGTTTAGTGTGGATTGTGACTGTGTGTTTCGTATCATGTGGACACTACGGACGGGATAATTTCGGTCCATGTATACTAGTGTGGATATTTCATTTGGGGGAAAAAAAAAGGCATTCACCCTCCTTCCAAAATCCGACCCGAAAATCCCACAGAGCGAGTTTCGATGTGCTCTTGCAGATTGAGCGAGTGATTATGTTGAATGCCAGGATACATCGCTTTAAAATAATTTCCCATCTCCAGCACCCGAGGAAAATCCACAAATTTCTTATAGGTACGGTCCTACTTATGGTTATCGACATGCATCGATCGGCGGTGATCAGCTGAGTGTATGCCTAAAATGTCCGTCGATGCAAGTTGGATTGTCAATTTTAGGGGCAAAAACATCGAATTTTTAAATGTTAATAACTAATTAACGAAGCCCCAAACGCAATTCTCTCTCTCTTCATTTTCGTCTTATTTTTGACCACAGAACACGTCCTTAAAATATTGCCCACTAGTAGGTTTACACCCGGTATTTTAATACGTTCCATGTTAAATGAGTCAAGGCTTGTCCATCTTCTTTCACATCCGAGTTTCACAAGTTTACAACCTCCATGGAGTAAAACTTTTATTAAAAAAATAGATTGCGATTATTTGTTCGTATTTAGAATCGTAACTGCTATAATTGAATATAAAAAATGTAATTGTTGTACAGAGATGTCGCTTGATACAACATGATTTTTGTCAAGTTCCATTTCATCAAGTTTTAGTGATTCATCGTTGCTGGCAGCGCGAGGATAAGAAATTGACGACGCAGTAATTAGAACGATAAAGCACGGGCAACGGTGTTCTGTTTTAGACAGACCCGATACAAGGTTCCCCTCGGACTTCGTTTCTTATCGCCAAACTTGTTTACACGGTGTTTTGCACCGAAATGGCTGTGGCATGATTTTTGCCTCGAGAACTACGGTTGAACAAAGTTTGAAAGTTATAATCGTAGCCATATTTCGCTCGACGTTTTACTTTCGCGTGACATAAACGATACGTTTTTTTCCCTCTACCTTCTTATAGCTTCCATTTTATAACTCATCTTACTGATATATGCGATAAGAATTTACAGAATTTTTATATTCATCAAAACTCATATACATATACTTCTTGTGTAAGTTAACAACACATAGTTCTTTATTAGATACCGTGATATACAATTTCATCCGGCATCATAATAACAAGAGGATATGCATATCACATTTGATCTAGAATTACTGTTAACTATCTATACACGTGATAGTTAAACACGTACGTATTCGATTCGTTAAAAAGAGTTCGCAAATGGCAGAGGAATAAGACACGCAACGATGGACATTCGTAATAATAGCGCAATTACGGTGTTAAATGGAAGAAACAGATTGTAGGTATTGTGAAGCAGACAGTAAAGTACGCGGACAGATCTACCGTCGGAATCTCAGTGAAAGCGTCTAGCCGAATAAGATAGTCAAATGTGCCCTTGAACGAAATTCAACTTGCAATGAGCCATTCGAATATCATCATCGTTAATCTTTCGACTTAAACGTGAAGATTTAAGAAACCTCATGGTATAAAAAAAAATAAGGGCTTGATTGGGGATTCAAACCCCTGCTAAAAAAAAGTGTAGCCAGTCACTTACCCTCCCCGTCCAACCGGTGACTTAACCCCTTCCGGTACGATTTAATAATAAACCCAATGACGAGCTAGACTCGTCATTTTACCGGAAGGGGTTAACAGTGTCGTAGCTGCAACGGAACATAACAGACTGGACACAATCCCAATTAAATCCATTTTTTCAATTGATGTTTAATGTTGTTGTGTACAAAAATATTTAACAAAGAAGTACGACTACTGAGTGAAGGAAATGTAAAAATTCGAATCATAAGGGACTTCATCACGCGAAAAACGTCGAAAAAGTCGGTTTTCGATTTTTTTAAGTAGAGCGCACCAAACTGAAAAATCTGAAAAAAATAGGGTATAAAAGTTGGGTTGAGGCACGTCTGCCATAAAAATATAAATGATGTCGCTCGAGAATTTTGCACTGTTTCGTTCATTTTTAGCATTTTTTATTTTTCACGACCGAACTACGCA